GACCCGGGCCCTCCTCGAAGATCCAACCCCTGCTCCCGCTCTGGCCCCAGCCGCCAATGCTACAGGCCTGGCCCCCTCTGCTCGACGACCGCTCAGGGGGCATATCAGGTATGTCCGCACGTACTCCTGATAGTCACCGGTGCCTCAGAAGCCGGCCTCCTCCCAGCCGATGGAGTAATCATCCAGCTGCTCAGTGGTGAGCCCCTCGATCTCCCTCATCTCTGCAGGAGAGTGAGCCGGGACTATCTGCTCAGGTAACCCGCGGGTCTGGCGTAGAAAACGCTCCCCCAGGTACCAAGCCCGACAGACCGGGCCCTCAAGCAGAATCCGGAAACGCGAGGTCTCCTCAGCACCAGGGAACCGACCCCACATCGCCGACGGCAAGGAAGCCCACGGCCGCCATGTGATCTGAAAATGACAGACAGTTTGTTATCTACTATTATTGAAATATGCAGTGGGAAAGCGAAGCTAAATAAACTGAAAATAAAACATACCTCGGCCGGGGTGATGGTGTCAAAATATCGGCGGAAGAAGCCGAATGTCTCCCGTGGTCGCCGGGTGCATCTCCCGTCGAAGCGACTCGAGAACGGGACAGCCGGAGGAGGCTCCGCGACTGGTACGGGTGCAAGCCTAGGGAAGTAGGCGTAAACCCACAGCTGCAAAACAGATGTCAGTATGACCATCAGATAAAGTGGGATATATAGAATAAAGCAGAAATGGCAAAGCCGTGTGTTGTGCAGTGTATTGTGTACAGTGTACAGTGTGAGCCGTGTGCAGTCAGTGTAAAGCAGAATGTATGTGTGTGCCGTGTGTACAGTATACAGCAAGTGTAGAGCAGGCTACAGTGTGTGCAGTGTATGGAGTACAGAGAATATCAGACAGAAATGAAAAGCGGAGAAGAAGTATACCTCCCAAGCCCGCCAGTAGCCTCCGAGGAGCTGGCCGCTGCCGCGCGAAGCCGAGCTCATGTACCCATAGAGAGTGCCCAGAGCAGCGCCGCCCCAATCGTAGTGCAGAATATCCCGGACGTCCACCGGTGCGCTGAGAAGACAGAGAGGCACGGTGTTCGCCCGGTCGGCGAAGATAGTAGTCCCGAACAGGAACATGAGGAAGCCGCGAGCACACCTCTCCTCGTCCTCCGGGGTCATCTGCACCTCCTCCAAAACGGGCTGAACCCTGAACTGTGTCTCGAACCAGGAGTACCGCACGAAGCCTGGACGAGCTAGTGGTGGGGCCTCCCCCAGTAAATGGACCTGAGCGGCGGTCCACTCATCCATGTCGGTGTCGAAGGGGATCGGATCACCCCCTACCCCGATGCCTGTGAGCATCGAGAAGTCATAAGGGGTCATCGTCATATCCCCTACAGCAGAGAAGTGGAAAGAATCGGTGGTGTCCCACCACCTCTCCGCCAAAGCAGCAAGAAGAGGTCTGCATGTGGACAACCTAGAGAGCCCTCGGCAGAAGGTGCCGAAGCCCGCCCGATCCACGATGCGTTGGACCGCATCAGGGAGCTCATCATACCACTCCCGTGCACCAGTATTCCCATACCCGCGAATGGTATGGGAACCCTCCTGCAAACAGAAAATGACAATTGCAAGACAACATTCAAAATGCAGTTTTGAAAGGACAGATATGGCATGTATGCAAGTTTGTCAGATTCAGGCAAATACCGGGTGCCGGTGTGCTTGCAGTGAAATACGTGTGCTGTGTCAGCGTGTTTGGGTGTTTCAGAACAGATGTGGCATGTGTGCAAGTTTGACAGATTCAGACAAATACTAGGTGCCAGTGTGTGTGCAATAGAATACAGTGAGTGCAGTGTGTTTGAGTGATTCAGGGCTAGTGCAGTGTGTGTGCATGTCTCGGTCTCAAACAGATATCAGTTGTATGTATGTTTACAGTCAACTACGGTCTACGGCATATCAGTTTCCAGCAGTTAAAGAGTACAACTAACTATGACAGTTTTGTATCCTACATTGCGGAAAGTAAAGCAGAAAGAAGGGAGTTACCTCAGAAGTGCCGAATGAAAGGTGGGAGGAAGGCTCACGCAGCAGTAGCTCAGGCGCCGCATACCTCTCAAAGCTCCGGAACTGACGCAGGCCGTCTGGGGGCAGAACGTGGATCGCCGGCCGGTAGGTCGCCGGGTCGCGCTCGCTCAGTGGTAGGAGCTCGACCCCGGGATCCATCTCGTGGTCCGGGGGAGTCCCGCCACGTGGAATGTCGTCCACCATGTAGAGAATGATGTGAAAGTGGCCCAGAAAAGGAAAATCGGGTCGGAATACGAAGAGTTAACCAAAAAGTCAACTCCCGAGAGGGTCGGAAATGACCGGGAAAGCCGGAATGTGAAAAGGCACGGAAATGAAGAGGAAAGTGAGGGGAACAAACCCCGAAAAGGCGAGAACGCCAAACGAGGCACCGAAACGAGAATGTGATCGGTGGAAAACGTCCGAAACGCGAAGAGAAACGCGAATCCGATGACGAAACGAGCGTAGAACGCGAAGAAACGGGCGAAAAAACGAGAGAGAAACACTCTAGAGAGAGTGTGAAGGTTTTCGGCGGTGGAGAAGCGAGGAATAGGGTTTCCAAACCCTATTTTATAATGCCCAAGGTGAAAAGTCAAAACTGCCCCGCACCAGCAACTGTTTGCCGGTCGGCAATGTTTTTTGCCGGTCGGCACTTTTTTGTGCCGATAGAATTGTTTTTGTGCCGATGGCCAGCCGGTGGCGTCATCTTTCGGCCGGTGGGGTTCCCACAGCCTTGTTTAGGCCATTTGAGTTGTTTTTGGTCTTCATAGCTCAAGAAAGTGCAAGAAAGTACATCTCCGACGCTCAACCGGCCTCCGTTCTGACCGTAGAACGTGCCTTCAGTGAGTGGCGCTTGAATTCGTGCAAGGTGTATCCTTTTTGTATCCTTTTAAATTCAATAGTTGCCCCATGTGTGTTGCACGAGTTCATCACACTACTTCTGTGCATTGCATCACGCTGTCATGCGCCACACATTTGCATTGTTATGCACGTGTTACATGCATTGCAACACGCACCACTTTGAATCGTCGTGCACATTTCTCATGCATCCTCATTGCATTTCCATTCCATGCATTGTCATGCATTACGGAATACGTGCGTTGTTGCACATTTAAGCCCACTTACACTCCGTGTGGCATGCGTGTCGCACTTAGCATTGCACTGTTTTGTGCATTTCAAAATTGTTCGCGCTGTTCTGCGCATCGCACTGTTTTGTGAATTTCAAACCGTCGCACTGTTTTGTGCATTTCAAATCGGCGCATTGTTTTGTGCATTTCAAACTATTGCACTGTTTTGTGCATTTCAAAATTGTTCGCGCTGTTCTGCGCATCGCACTGTTTTGTGCATTTCAAACCGTCGCACTGTTTTGTACATTTCAAATCGGCGCATTGTTTTGTGCATTTCAAACTATTGCACTGTTTTGTGCATTTCAAAATTGTTCGCACTGTTCTGCGCATCGCACTGTTTTGTGCATTTCAAACCGTCGCACTGTTTTGTGCATTTCAAATCGTCGCACTGTTTTGTGCATTTCAAATTGTCGCACTATTTTGTGCATTGCATTCCGTTGCGCGGTTTTGCGCATCTTATTACATTACCTGCGTAGACCGCATGTTTGTAATCTTTTCTTTCCTTGCGTAGACCTCATGTTAATTACATTACCTGCGTAGACCGCATGTTTGTAATCTTTTCTTTCCTTGCGTAGACCGCATGTTAATTACATTACCTGCGTAGACCGCGTGTTTGTAATTGTTTCTTTACTTGCGTAGACCGCATGTTAATTACATTACCTGCGTAGCCCGCCTGTTTGTAATTGTTTCTTTACTTGCGTAGACCGCATGTTAATTACATTACCTGCGTAGACCGCATGTTTGTAATCGTTTCTTTACTTGCGTAGACCGCATGTTAATTACATTACCTGCGTAGACCGCATGTTTGTAATTGTTTCTTTACTTGCGTAGACCGCATGTTAATTACATTACCTGCGTAGTCCGCATAATTGTTCAATTTTTTTCCTTGCGTAGACCGCATATTTGTTGTTCAATTTCTTTACCTGCGTAGACCGCATGTATTGCTTGCGTAGACCGCATAATTGTTCAATTTCATTACTTGCATAGACCGCATGTATTGCTTGGTAGACCGCATGTTTGTTCAATTCATTACCTGCGTAGACCGCATGTATTGCTTGTGTAGACCGCATGTTTTGCTTGCGTAGACCGCATGATTTATCGGTTCCATTACCTGCGTAGACCTCATGTTTTGATTGCGTAGACCACATTATTTCTTTACTTGCGTAGACCGCATGTTAATTACATTACCTGCGTTGCGTAGACCGCATGCTTAGTTCCATTACTTGCGTAGACCGCATGTTTTGATTGCGTAGACCGCATGTTTAATTCCATTACCTGCGTAGACCGCATGTTTTGATTGCGTAGACCGCATGTTTGATTCCATCACCTGCGTAGACCGCATGTTTTGATTGCGTAGACCGCATGTTTAATTCCATTACCTACGTAGACCGCATGTTTTGATTGCGTAGACCGCATGTTTAATTCCATTATCTGCGTAGACCGCATATTATGATTGCGTAGACCGCATGCTTAGTTTCGTCACCTGCGTAGACCGCATGTTTTAATTGCGTAGACCGCTTGTTTGTTTCGTTACCTGCGTAGACCGCGTGCTTATGATCAATTTCGTCGCCTGCGTAGACCGCTTGCTCCGTTTGCCTAGTTGTATTTCAATATGCATTGTCATGCTCCCCACTTGCTTTGCGCTGTCACGCATTTCGAGTACACTACTTTGCATGTTGCTAACGATATTGTACCTGTTAAGTTTGTTTTCTTTGCAGGCACAATATTGTATGTACGGTTCATTTGAGGTTGGTGCAACCAGACGAGCCGCACAGGTATTGTATCTCCCGAGTGAGACGCATTGAGAATTTCATAATTCTCTTACATCCTTTCTGCATTGTAGTGTAGTTTGGTATGCTAGCTTAAAATTGTCGCATGTTTGCTTCGTTACAGCTTCCTTTGCATGATCATAAGTTATGCTCGGCTCTGTGCATTGTCTTGCATTTTGCCCCTGCCTCCGGGCGCATACTTTGTTTGTCTTGCATGTTTGTCTAAGTCTTCGGCCTTGTCAAAAATGGGTCGTCTCTGGGCTTTGACATTCACTCCCGTCATTGTTATGACTTTCGAGTTCTGTCAAAGAGGGGCAACTGTAGACACCCCATTTTTGACCGTCCTCAAGACTTGGACGTCACCGTTTGAACACTTGGTGATTATCCATGTTTGTGTTCGTTTGGAGTTCCCGGAGGTCTCGGCTCGCGCGCCTTGCCTCAGGATCCCCGAACTCAACCGTTTAGTGTCTAGTTTTGCACCAAACACTTGTGTTTTGCCTTTGAGAGGCAGGGTGAGGCTTGTAGACCATCTCCACCCACCACCGGCAGTGGCTAGAGGCCACCGGCTGGTTTTTGCTGCCACCGGCAATGTATATTGTCGGCCGGCACTATTTGTTGCCGGTCAGCACTTTTTAGTGCCGGTCGGCACTCTTTTTGGCCAAGATGGCATTTTTGGCCGGCCGATTGCTGTTCATCTACTTTTCCAGATATTTTTAGGCAGCTGTATTGCAGTGACTTTCCCTCCATACACGTGTATGGAGGGATGGCCCTCTAGTTTTGCTTAACTTGTAAGTTTTGCAAGTTTGGTGAGGGAGATAGATAGAAGCTCTCTCTTGGGGCTAAGGAGAGAGTTTTAGACATTTTTAGAGAGGGAAAAACATAGAGAGAAGCTCTGGTTTTAGGGTTTGAGTTGTATACATATCCTATCTCTATATTTACTCTTGTGTGTGTTTTAGTCCATACTATTGCACACAAGCACCTAGTGTTTCACCTTCCTCTTGAAACTAGGGTTCTAAGGGCTTGTTCTTGAGTTTCTTGACTGGTTTGGAGCCAAAGGAGGCCATTGGAGCATCATTTGTGAAGAAGGCTTCAAGGGTGAGAATCTAGTCCCATTTTCCCCCATTTTTGCATTGATTTTATACCCATCTTAGAGCTGTTTCAAAGCCGAATCGGAAGGAGTAGATCTCGCCGGAAGAAGCTCGTGGAGTAACCCTGATGGATTCTCCGCAAATCAGTGCAACAGCCGTTCTCCTAGACACAGAGAGGCTTCAATTCAAAAAACCATTTGGCATGGACTTGCTACACTTTTACCC